CATCTGTGGGGAGAGGCGAGACCGAGAGAGGGCAGACCCAGATAGACCCATTCGTGTCAGAAGAAGGAGCAGTGGGTGAGTTTCCTGCCTTTGTGTTGGTTTGTTTTCCCCTCAGGGAAGGCCTAGTCAGTGGCTAAACCTCAAAGAGAACTCGTCTTTCCGTCTTGAAAAAGTACAGAAATTGGGGCAATGTCCGTGCCTGTGAAGCGAGGGGGTATCTTGGAGAGCAGAGCCATGAGGAGCGTTCTGACATGTACACATGTATTCTGTCCAAGTAGCTCAATGACTTGAGCTGTGTGCGTGCAGCCGGCCTGGAACCTGAGTCCAGCCAAGGAAACCGCCTGCTGGGACTATTCAAGGGCATGTAACACCCCGATCCCCACACCTGTAGCTCCAAGGACAGCCCAGGACACAAGCCCAAGCACAGGAAGAAGCAGAAAAGGGTGACCCGGCCTCAAGAGAAAGAGAATCAATGGGGAAAAAGTTGAGATATTCCAGACGCTGGAATGGTCAGAAACAGGTATTAAAGCAGCGATTACAACTACGCTCATGACTGTAAAGGAAAACATGTTTACAATAAGCAAACGACTAGGAAGTGTTTAAAGGGAGGGCTGGAAGGACAGTATCTGAAGTGACCCTGCGGGTTATGAGTCACTCCCATGGCACTTCATGTTGCATAGCACACCGATGTTTCTAATTCCTGGAGAGTTCTCGCAGGAACTTCCTAGTCACGTTCTAGCGACAGTGATGTTTCTACCAAATACCTCTACTTCCATTGAAACATACCTTGTGCTCTTCTCTTTCACAAGTTTGACTCACCTATTGCAATTCCTCTTGCGCTAGTTTCGTGTAAAACACAAAAGCTAGGTTGGATTTTTTGGAGGAAAGGGGGTGGGTGGGTTTATCTGAACAGTTGTTCATGTCACCACTGGTTCACAAAGGATGCTGAACAATGGAGGCAGTTGCATGCAACAGCACTAGTAAGACCTTCTAGAGCTGTGGTTAGCCTCTAGTGAATTTCTACAGCAAATGAAGGGCCGAGTGGGTCAAAATGCCATCTTACCTGAAGAACGGAAGGAAGTGTATAGGGCACTTTGAATATTTTCTTGGGTTGGCTGACATTTATTTTCAGTTAGAACATGGGGCAGCCTTTAGGACCGGACTTTACCACTCAGACTTTACGTACCTGGTAGATCCAGCTTTACGCAGGGCAGTGCCTCTCCCCTCCCCACGGGACACTTGTAGACGTCGCCCGTCCTGTTCTTGGGCTGGCCAACCAGCGGAGAGCCGATGAGCACCCTGGAAGGTAAGCAACTCAATGAACCCTTCTGAA